TAAATAACCGGGATCAATACCCTTTACGTGCTTTCTCGCTCCGTCCGTCATGTTCAATTAGTGTTTAATGCCGCCGACCAAAATAATTCCCAGCATGCAACGCGCGCTTTTGTCAACAATGAAACTCGCCCATAAAGTCAAGTCAAATGTTTTTCTGTTTTTGTGTATGATTTTAAGATACATAAAGAGTACAAATACTAAATACTGTAAAGTTTTAAACTCCAGTATTATATTATATGAATATATAAATAAAATGTTAAGCACGAGTCAGTGACTTGACCTTGTTATGCACTTGGAGCAAGATATACTAAGTATTAGTACACAGGTGTCAAACATAAGGCCCGGGGGCCAGATCCGGCCCTCCAAGACCTTTAATCTGGCCCTCAGCTGATTTTCTACTAAAATATTTTACTGATATTTTCTATTAAAATCTTGTTAATTTTCTGTGGTGTTTATCACAGCAGCGTCTCCAGTGTCTCTGTACGTGGCCCCTCCCACCAGAGCAGCACAAATGAAGACTTGTCTCTTTCCAAACGCTCTTAAAGGACGATCGTTTTGACTGTTGACCGTGACACCCTCATCAGAAAAATGTCCAACATGAGAAAAGTGGAGCTGAGTGCAGGATTTTACAACAAAAATTTACTTATTCCTGTTTACAAACAAGTTCATGTTAAAACATTGTGTTGAAATTTTATTTTTCTTAAAGTTTCAGGTTGTTCATAATATTATAATATTTTGTAAAAGAAAGAGTTCATCAATTAAAAAAGATTTCTGTAATAGATTTGTGTTTCGCTGCACAAATATTTGAGCTTATTGTTATTTTTGGGGTTTATGTGACATGAGTTTTCTGATCCGGACACTTTAGGATCAAAGTAGATTGGATACGGCCCCTGGACCAAAATGAGTTTGACACCCCTGTATTAGTACTTTGTGGCAGAAGGACGTTGCAGTGGACAGACTTGCCCTGTGCAAGATCCACTATGGCTGCAGTGTGTGTGGGCGTCTTGGGCGTGTCTTCCACAAAAGAGAGTCAAAAATACTGTGTTCCTTGATAGTTTATTGGTAGACCCTACAAATTTCTATTTCTAATTATATCATAATTAAAGTAGCCTGGATCAGTGGTAGGACAAAGTTGAAGTACTTCTGTGTAAATAACAGAACGTAGCCTGAGCTTTGGCTTGTACAGATGTTCTCCTGTGACGTCTCTGCACACACAGGGCTTTGACTCTCACAATAAACCAGAATCACAAAAACATCCTCCGAGTTGTGTCTGTTTGAATGTAACTTTACTTCAAAATGTGACAATCATGATTCTAAAGAAAAGGGAATAAATGTACTTACCTTAAAAACAGAAATAACAGATTTCTCTTTAAAAGATTTCAACTGACGCCTAAATAAATAATGAAGTAAAATGATTGCAAGTCTTCAGTTAGAACATTGTAGAACATCTCCTGGAGCACAGACACAGCAGAGCTTCCAGGACTTGGTTTTTCTTCTGTTTTGAGTCCCTGATTTTGGTGATGCTCTGGGAGGTGAATCCAAAGGAAAACAGCCTCTCAGTTTTCACACTGGACACTGGCTGTTTCCTCACCTCCTACTTGTGTCTTCATTGTACTTGTAAATAATAATAATTATTAGTGTCTCTACCCACTGTGGCCAAGTCTATGTGGACAAGATTCAGATCGAGCTCGTGCACCTTTTGTACTGCACTTTACATCAAAACTATGCAGAGTTTGATGCTCTAAACGTAATTCCATTGTTTTCTACGACAATAACAATAAAATCTTGAACCTTGAAGTCCATAACTCCTCCATGAGTCGAAGCAGGTGACACACCCTCCACCAGAAAAGTTCCATAGTGCACCTTTAACCCTGGACACTGACAGAAGCCAAGCCCATGTACAGGGATCCAGTCTGGTGCAGTGTCCCTGGACCAATGAAACGTTCCTGTCAGAATCCAGCGCAGCGTTTGGATCTGAAGTGTGTTATGAATCGTACTCACCGCCCGACAAACTCTGACCGCTCGTTATCACCGCCAGGTTTCCACAGACAGAGCTCGCCAGGCCTGAAGCTCTGGGCTGTAGCTCCCTCCATGCTCCTCCTTTCAGACATCGCTCCAGTGCCCCAGTCACCACACCAGCCCTGGAGGGCACAGGTCAAAGGTCAATGCATCTGAGCGGAGGCTGTTCAAAGGAAGGACAGATTTTATTATAAGCACAATTTTGGACGTAAATACAGAATAAAATCACAAATAAAACATTTTGATATTGAATTGTAGTATAGAAAGGGACTAAAGGAGAGTAAACATCAGGGTTTATCATTAGAGGAGACTATGGTGGCCCCACAGAGTCTAAAATTCTCCCCCACAGTCTAAAAACAACCTGGACTTTACATCAGCATCACAAAATCACACTTTGTTGCCCATTGTCTCATCATAAACATTTAAAAGTAAATATACTGGGCTAAAATCACTGTTTTAAGATTAAATATCAGCAAAAAACATAATTTATTCTCTACAAATTGTATAAAATTACATTATTAAAATCTTGGTCCACCACAGTCTCCCCAGAATCTGTGGGAAACACTGCACAGTTTTGAGTGGAATTATGACTTGTGTGTGACATGATGTGGGCTCAGTATCAATCAATCATACCGTATTTTTCGGACTGTAAGTCACACTTTTTTTTTTTTTTTTACTTATTTACTATCACTTATATTGATTAAAGAAACTATTAAAAATGATCTAAACTATTCTCAATGTGCATCAGTCTATTTTAGATACGGGATTATACAGCTTTTGTAAAGAAGGAAAATCATTAGGATCTGTTAATTCTCTTCAATAAAACTGTTTAAACATTTATCTGTGTGCTGCCTCAGAGACCTGCAGAGTGGCGCCCTCTGCTGGAGCTCAGTGTCTCTGTCAGTGAGAGGGAGGAACCACAGACAAAACAAAACTGAAACTAAAAGTGTTTGAGAGACGTCCGGCTGAGGCCTGTTTGAGACTGCGGTGACACAGTGAGTATTTCTCATGATTAACATGTAAAATATTGAAACAGTGATGTAGACTTTGCTCTTGCCTCAGTTCAGAGCTGAGTAGTTCTGCCTTAGACCGAGTTTAGTCTGACTTTAGTCCTAGTGCTGATTGGGGCCTGGTGCTGATGACCTATTTTATACATGGTTGTTTTCAGACCAAGTGTTTCTTTATTCCTACTTTAGTTTTGTTTTGATCTGTCCTGATTTGAACCTGATCTAATCTTAAACTACACTAACAGCAGTGGAAAGAGTATTTGTACTCAAGTAAAAGTATAGTTGTGTGGCTATTCTTTTGGGTCCTGCTGTAGATCAGGTTAGATTTAGTGTCAGTTTAGTTCTGTTTCAATCTGTATGGTCCAGGTTTAATCATGATCTGGTCCAAACTCACACTATTGAGGGAGTAGATCATTTGAAACACGGCCACACCCAGTGAAGTGTGATGTGGTCAAGTGTCCAGCAGAGGAAGACACAGACCGATCAGACCTCTGGGTGCAGAGCAGAGACACATTTCACAGTAACTCCACATCTAAAGAACAGAACTTCTAAACAGGAGACATCTCTGTATGTTCTGTTCAAATGGACTCTTCTTCTGATTCCAGCTCCTGCAACATGGACCCACCTGGACTCGGCCCCGGGTCTAAACTCAGACCTAAAACCTGCTCCCAGCTCTGTGTCTCTGAGAAGTGACCACTCCAAAGGCCTTCCTCCAGACTTTAGTGAAGCTCGTCCTGAAGATGAGAGGTGAGACATTTGAACAGGTCTTTTCACACTGATAAACAGAGACTAAAGTGAGTAGGACTGTTACTGTGTGACTGTCTCCTCAGTCAAACACATTATTCACTCTGTATCTTCTTTCCTGTTTTGTCCTGGTCATGTGCTCCAGAGGGTCAGACTTACACAGACATAAGTTTAAACTACTGCAGAACACATGAACTGCACTGACTCTACACTGCCCCCTGTGGACGAGCACTGACAGCACACTCTGTCTGAGCTGAAATACAGTAATGCCTCATTTAACTCAACATCTTTAGAAATATGAAGTCTAAAGATTTCTGTTCTGAGTGTGTAGGTTAGGGTATAAAAAAGGGCTATGTGCTATGTGCTAAAAAAAACAGTAAGGTTAAAAGTTATTTCATTTTTTTCAGGTGCACCGATAAATGACAAACAACCAACAAATTCAATTCTACATTTACAAAATCAACCAAAAAAAATAACAACAAATTAAAGTTAGTAAAGTCAAACCAAACATTAATGAAAACAAACCAAACTAATTAAACTCTACATTTATCTGTGTGCTGCCTCAGAGACCTGCAGAGTGGCGCCCTCTGCTGGAGCTCAGTGTCTCTGTCAGTGAGAGGGAGGGACCACAGACAAAACAAAACTGAAACTAAAAGTGTTTAGAGACGTCCGGCTGAGGCCTGTTTGAGACTGCAGTGACACAGTGAGTATTTCTCATGATTAACATGTAAAATATTGAAACAGTGATGTAGACTTTGCTCTTGCCTCAGTTCAGAGCTGAGTAGTTCTGCCTTAGACCGAGTTTAGTCTGACTTTAGTCCTAGTGCTGATTGGGGCCTGGTGCTGATGACCTATTTTATACATGGTTGTTTTCAGACCAAGTGTTTCTTTATTCCTACTGTAGTTCTGTTTTGATTGGTCCTGATTTGAACCTGATCTAATCTTAAACTACACTAACAGCAGTGGAAAGAGTATTTGTACACAAGTAAAAGTATAGTGTGGCTATTCTTTTGGGTCCTGCTGTAGATCAGGTTAAATTTGCTTAGAAATTATTTAGTGTCAGTTTAGTTCTGTTTGGATCTGTATGGTCCAGGTTTAATCATGATCTGGTCCAAACTCACACTATTGAGGGAGTAGATCATTTTAAACACGGCCACACCCAGTGAAGTGTGATGTGGTCAAGTGTCCAGCAGAGGAAGACACAGACCGATCAGACCTCTGGGTGCAGAGCAGAGACACATTTCACAGTAACTCCACATCTAAAGAACAGAACTTCTAAACAGGAGACATCTCTGTATGTTCTGTTCAAATGGACTCTTCTTCTGATTCCAGCTCCTGCAACATGGACCCACCTGGACTCGGCCCCGGGTCTAAACTCAGACCTAAACCTGCTCCCAGCTCTGTGTCTCTGAGAAGTGACCACTCCAAAGGCCTTCCTCCAGACTTTAGTGAAGCTCGTCCTGAAGATGAGAGGTGAGACATTTGAACAGGTCTTTTCACACTGATAAACAGAGACTAAAGTGAGTAGGACTGTTACTGTGTGACTGTCTCCTCAGTCAAACACATTATTCACTCTGTATCTTCTTTCCTGTTTTGTCCTGGTCATGTGCTCCAGAGGGTCAGACTTACACAGACATAAGTTTAAACTACTGCAGAACACATGAGCTGCACTGACTCTACACTGCCCCCTGTGGACGAGCACTGACAGCACACTCTGTCTGAGCTGAAATACAGTAATGCCTCATTTAACTCAACATCTTTAGAAATATGAAGTCTAAAGATTTCTGTTCTGAGTGTGTAGGTTAGGGTATAAAAAAGGGCTATGTGCTATGTGCTAAAAAAAACAGTAAGGTTAAAAGTTATTTCATTTTTTTCAGGTGCACCGATAAATGACAAACAACCAACAAATTCAATTCTACATTTACAAAATCAACCAAAAAAAATAACAACAAATTAAAGTTAGTAAAGTCAAACCAAACATTAATGAAAACAAACCAAACTAATTAAACTCTACATTTACAATAAGTGCTAGTGTTGTGCAAACATGAATGATGTGCTAATTGGTATTTTAAGTGCGTGTGCTGAAGTTCTTATACAGGCTTTGATGTTAAGTTTACGTACATGGAGGTCCAGATGGTTAAAGTGCATTGTGCCAAGGAGCCTATCTGGGATAAAGTGACCCTTGTATCCCACAACATTCATCAAATAAGAACTAACAGTAAGAATAGAGAGCAAGAACCTGTTTCTAGTTTCTTGTCAGTGATGCCGAGAGCGAGCGTCAAATTCACAGAGTTTCTTTCAAACTGTCAAACTGTCTACAGCAGGGGTGTCAAACTCATTTTGTTCCGGGGGCCGTATCCAACCGACTTTGATCCCAAAGTGTCCGGATCAGAAAACTCATGTCATATAAACCCCAAAAATAACAATAAGTTCAAATATTTGTGCAGAGAAACACAAATCTATTACAGAAATATTTTTTAATTGATTAACTCTTTCTTTTACAAAATATTATAATATTATGAACAACCTGAAACTTTAAGAAAAATACAATTTCAACACAAAGTTTTAACATGAACTTGTATGTAAACAGGAATAAGTCAATTTTTGTTGTAAAATCCTGCACTCAGCTCCACTTTTCTCATGTTGGACATTTTTCTGATGAAGGTGTCACGGTCAACAGTCAAAACGATCGTCCTTTAAGAGCGTTTGGAAAGAGACAAGTCTTCATTTGTGCTGCTCTGGTGGGAGGGGCCACGTACAGAGACGCTGGAGACGCTGCTGTGATAAACACCACAGAAAATTAACAAGATTTTAATAGAAAATATAATTAAAATATTTTAGTAGAAAATCAGCCGAGGGCCAGATTAAAGGTCTTGGAGGGCCGAATCTGGCCCCCGGGCCGCATGTTTGACACCTGTGCTTTAGAGCATGTATTTGTTGCCTCTTCATAAATGTTTTTTAGGTAGGAATAAGTTTAGGTTTAATATATTGTTTCTCATTAAGGTTGGTAATTAATACTATATTTGATGTATTTAAGTTACACATCCCAAAATTAGCTCCTCATATTCTCTAAAGGTGCATTGAGTAACTCAGAAGGAGGCCAAATTATGTATTTTTATTTACTTTTTGAGCTGCATTTAAACAAAGATAAATCTTTCTGATATATTTTAGCACTAAGGCTAAACTCGTTCTCCTCTGAGCTTGTCTTTTATAACCCTGTTTTACTCTTGTCTCTGTCTTATTCTGTTCTTTTATGGACCATGAGTCTGGAATAAATAAATGATGATGAGTTTATTGTTTGACAGGGAGCCAGGCCCAAAGGAGCAGCTGGACGCCATATTCAGGGTGAGTACCCCACGAGCGCAGCATGTGTGGGGTTCTCTGGGTGCTCCTCAGGTGCTCTCTTTGACTAAAACTCTTCTCTTATTGTTCTGTTCCAGCGTCTGGAGGAGGACGTCCTGACTTTTGTCAAAGAGCAGCTGCAGAGGCTCCACAGGCTCCTGGCCTCAGATTACCCAGAATGCTCTGAGAGTGAGGAGGAGGAGCAGAGCAGCAGAGAGGTTCTGAACATCACCCTGGACTTCCTGAGGAGGATGGACCAGGAGCAGCTGGCCCAGCGCCTGCAGAACAGTAAGAACTCTGTTACTGTCCATCTGAGGAACAGACCACACCAGACTTGACTTCACAGTAACAAAAGTCTACAGGTGTTTGAGGCTCACAGAAAGTACTATGACCCGTACATTAGGAGGGAGTTTTATCCACCTGAGGAACAGATGCTGGATATAATCTGTTTAACTTAAAAAGACCCATGTGTCATTTTCTGATCTATGTTATAATGTTTCCTCATCACAAACTGACCTGGAGTATTTTGTTTCATTCCACATGTTTAACACACAAACCCTGTATATTTAATTCTTCTCTCAAACAGAAAACACTCTGTTCCACCTTATGATGTCATGTGGAACAACATGGAAAGTTCTCCACTGTGTTTTTAAAGTCCATAGACCTTCAGTACAATCATTTGTTGTTAACATCATTTGTTGTTAACTTGACTTGAAAGCTCGGCCTTGTGACAAAGTGGAAAAGAGCATTTTGAGTTTTGGAGATGGAGACAGACTAACAATAAAGAATTACTCAAACTTGAGTGAAGGACAAAAAACAAGCAGAACACAATTCCAGGTGTATTTTTGATGAGGGAACAACATTATAAGATGGTTAAAAGTTCAAAAGTCAATATAATATCTGTAATATAGGACCTACAGAGCGGGTCGTCTCTAGGCCGATCATGATAACACATTTTGACAAATTAACAATGACTCAGGATAATAAACCATTTTTAAATAGACTCTGTCATTAAACATACAGACAGACAGATCTGACCTGTAACTTGGCCTGTTGGAGGCACCTGCTTGTCTTCATGTAGTGTAATGTTAAAATCAAATCTTCAGGGAAAAAGCAGGTTTCAGACCCTCCACTAGAAGAGTTATGTTTTCAGGTGGAGTTTCTGTTGACAGTTGTTTGTCTTTATTCAGGTGGTTCTGTTGGAGTGTGCAGAGGGAAACTGAAGTCTGATCTGCAGCAGAGGTTCAGTCGTGTGTTTGAGGGCGTGGCTAAAGCAGGAGACTCCGCCCCCCTGACCCAGATCTACACAGAGCTCCACATCACAGAGGGCGGAGCCTCAGAGGTCAACCAGGAACATGAGGTCAGACTCATGGAGACGGCGTCCAGGAGACCGGCCGCTCCAGAGACCATCACATGTGAAGAGCTCTTTAAACCCCGCCCACATTCACCACAGCCAATCAGATTTGTGTTGACGAAGGGCGTGGCCGGCGTGGGGAAAACAGTGCTGACTCAGAAGTTCAGTCTGGACTGGGCTGAAGGCCGGGCCCACCAGGACCTCCAGCTGCTGTTCCCGTTCACTTTCAGAGAGCTCAATGTGCTCAGAGACACACAGTTCAGCCTGGTGGAGCTGCTGCACCACTTCTTCAGTCCATCCAAACATCTCTGCAGCTTCCAACAGCTCCAGGTGCTCTTCATCTTTGACGGTCTGGACGAGTGCAGACTTCCTCTGGACTTCAGCCGAACCAGAGTCCTGACCGACCCCACAGAGTCCACCTCAGTGCACGTGCTGCTGGTGAACCTCATCAGGGGGAGCCTGCTTCCCTCCGCTCTCCTCTGGATAACCACGCGCCCCGCCGCGGCCAATCAGATCCCTGCTGAGTGCGTCTCCATGGTGACAGAGGTCAGAGGGTTCACCGACCCACAGAAGGAGCAGTACTTCAGGAAGAGGTTCAGAGACCAGGCCACAGTCGTCATCTCCCACATCAAGAGCATCCGCAGCCTCCACATCATGAGCCACATCCCGAACTTCTGCTGGATCCTCTCCACAGTTCTACAGAAACTTCTGGAACAAACAGAACCAGAGCTGCCCCGGACTCTCACACAGATGTACGTCCACTTCCTGGTGGTGCAGGCCAAAGTCCAGAACATCAAGTATCACCAGGGATCAGGGGAGGACCTTCACTGGACTCCAGAGACCAGGGAGATGGTGAAGTCTCTGGGAAAACTGGCCTTTGAGCAGCTGCAGAAAGGAAACCTGATCTTCTACGAGAGTGACCTGAGCGAGTGTGGGCTGGACGCTGCAGCGGCCTCAGTGTACTCCGGAGTGTTCACACAGATCTTTAGAGAGGAGCCAGGCCTGTACCAGGACAAGGTCTACTGCTTCATCCATCTGAGTGTGCAGGAGTTTCTGGCTGCTCTTCACGTCCATCAGATCTTCTACAGCTCTGGAGAGAACCTGCTGAACACATCACACTCCTTTAAGAGTCCTAAGTCTGAGGCAGCCTTCTACCGCTCTGCTGTGGACCAGGCCTTACAGAGTCCAAACGGACACCTGGACCTGTTCCTGCGCTTCCTCCTGGGACTGTCTCTGTCGACCAATCAGAGGCTGCTGCAGGGTCTGCTGACTCACACAGGAAGTGAAGAGACCAATCAGGAAGACAATAAAGTACATCAAACAGAAGCTGAATGAAAAGGGTCTGTCTGCAGAGAGAAGTCTGAACCTGCTCCACTGTCTGAACGAACTGAACGACCACAGTCTGGTTGATAAGATACAGGAGTACATGAGAGAAGGACGACTCTCCAGGTTAAATTCTCCTGCTCAGTGGTCGGCTCTGTCCTTCCTCTTACTGTCCTCAGACTCAGACCTGGAGGAGTTTGATCTGAGGAAATACCAGCGCTCAGAGACAGCTCTCCTGAATCTGCTGCCGGTGGTCAGAGCCTCCACCAAAGTCCTGTGAGTCCAGACTGTATTTAAACTCTTGTGTGGAGGTTCTAGTCTCTAATGTCCCTCTCTGTCCTCAGTCTTTGTGGCTGTGGTCTGTCTCCTCACAGCTGTGCTCCTCTGGCCTCAGTCCTCAGCTCCTCCAGTCTCACACATCTGGATCTCACTAACAACGACCTCCAGGACTCAGGAGTGGAGCTGCTGTGTTCTGGACTGAAGAGCGCCCCCTGCAGACTGGAGACTCTCAGGTGAGACGCTCCCATGATGCACTCTGCCCCCTTGTGTCCACATGAGTGTAATTCTGTGTCTTTAGGCTGTCTGGATGTCTGGTCTCAGAGAGGGGCGGGGCTGCTCTGGCCTCAGCTCTGAGCTCCGCCTCCTCCCACCTGAGAGAGTTAGACCTCAGCTACAACCATCCAGGACCCTCAGCAGAGCTCCTGACCGCTCTACGGGACGACCCCCACTGCCCCCTGCAGTCTCTCAGGTGAGGGTCCTGGTTCAGTGGGTCTCTGGTCCATGGTCGGTCCAGATCCTGGTCTCTGGTCTGGTCTAAACTGGACTTGTGTGTTTCAGGTTGGGTCCTGCTGGAGAACAGTGGATGGTCCCAGGTCTGAGGAAGTGTGAGTCTCTGTATTTCATTCAGTTCATGGGAACATTAACATTATGTAACTTTATCAGACTTTTTATTGTTCAGGATCATTGCATCTTAAAATATAAATGAAATAATACAACTTCTTTCTCAGGAACAGGAAGTGATGTCATGTGTTTGTGTCCTCAGATTCCTGTGAGTTTTCTCTGGATCCAAACACAGCTCACAGAAACATCAAACTGTCTGAGGACAAACGGACAGTGAATTTTTTGACAGAGGAGCAGCAGTATCCAGATCATGAGGACAGATTTATAAACTGGCATCAGGTCCTGAGCTGCACTGGCCTGAGGGGGCGCTGTTACTGGGAGGTTCAGTGGAGCGGGTGGGCTGAAATATCAGTGAGTTACAGAAGAATCAGACGGAGAGGAGAGAGAGAGGAGTGTGTGTTTGGACGCAATGATCAGTCCTGGAGTCTGAGGGTCTGTAATAGACTTTACTATTTCTGTCACAACAACAGACATACAGTCCTCTCTCCTCCTCCTTGCCCCTTCTCTCAGGTCGAGTGTCTGTGTTCCTGGACTCTGAGGCTGGATCTCTGTCCTTCTATGAGGTTCTCTCTGATGGAAAACTGTTCCACCTCCACACCTCCAGCTCCTCCTTCACTGAGCCTCTGTTTCCTGGGTTTTTAGTGTTGGGGGAAGGTTCCTCTGTGTCTGTGGTGCATCTGAAGAGGCCGCTCGCTGGTGGACCTCTGTGACTCTGTCCATCAATGAGTCCTAAATCAGTAAAAATGTTAATAAAAAATAAACATATGAGTATGTCCCATCTACACAACTTTAAAAATGACAGAACAATTAACAAAAATGCTGAAATATAAAAAAGGTAAAGGATAAAAGAGAAATAGTTATAAAATAGGTGAAATAAAAAACAGAAATTAGAAATAAATTTAAGTTAGGAAATCATTTAAAGTTAGTAGTATATTACACCATTTAAATCCAGGCTCTAAACAGTTCTGTTTAGCTGCATATGACTGAAAGGTTTTCATTCCGCACTCTTCTAATTTATGTACTTAGTGTCTCTCTCTCTGTCAATTATTAATTTTATGATGATTATTTATGTTTTGATTTGTTTATATTGTGATTTTAATGTATTTTTATTCTGTAAAGCACTGTGAATTGCTTTGTGTAGGAATTGTGCTGTACAAATAAACTTGTCTTGCCCATAGTTACTAAAAAAAAAAAAAAAAAAAGAGGTTACAAATTAAGAAAATAAGAAATATGGAAATCTTGGAACAATAATGACCAACAAATCCTAAAATAGGAAGTTATTTTTAATAATTCTGGGAAAGAAAACAAAAACAAAAGAACATTGACTGAAATCGTGATCATTTCTACCAGTGACATGGTCTATTCTCCCGCTATATTTGTGTCCTGCTCCACATATTGACAAACCCATTAGAAATAACGTGTGTCACTAAAACAAGTGTCCAAAACCTTTTACAAATCCAGCCCTGAACAGCGTTAGAAAAAAGATTTGATCACGAACCTGTTTGAGATGGAACTGAAGGTGAGTCCTGTGTCCACGCTGCTCCAAAACAGCTCCTTTAAAACACAAGAAAACACAAAATCAACCACAAACTACCGCTAAAGTGCCGCCAATTTAAGATAGCGACAAAACTCAAATACGTGACGCTGTTTTGTTTCTTCAAATATCAAATTAAACCACGTAAATCAGCCCGACATTCTACTAAACACTTACAGAATAAACACAGATATATCCGTGTGAGTTTAATGATCAAACACTGCCGTAATTTAACTTTTTAACAGCGAAAATCAGCAAAGTAAAGTTTTTAAATCAGGAACATGTCACCTCCCGCTTCAGTCACATCTCACGTACCTGCGTCGGGGCCGCGTGCGCTACGTCACTCAAACACATCGATTAGTTTATTATTTTCATTAAAAACACTTTTTATTATTATTTTTTTTATTTTACGAAATATTACATAAATAATAATAATAATAATAATAATAATAATAATAATAATACTTGGCCATGATCTATTTTTATTAACGGTAAACAGGGAATAATTTTAGGTTTATATTAATAATGTTGGGAGGTTAAAGCCACAGCAACGGTTTAATTTATACAGTCTGGATAGATAGATATGGGGGAGATAGTTGTCATGGTGATTCCCGCCAGGTGGGCGTGGTCACGTGAGCACAGATGTATGCTGGGTTCTTTTAAAAATGGCGCTCACCTGCCTGACAGGTAAGGGACCTGTCACCTGGTGACGTGGCACCGGGGAGTCGAGCCAACTCGTTTTGTTTGTCGACAGTTTCACTAAAGTGACTCTTGATGTCACTTCAAACGCTGTTTTATGTCAGAGGAAGCTCCTCTCACGGCAGCAGCGCGACGTTTTTTAGCAAGAAAGAAAGAAAAGTCGGAGCGGAAGCGCAGGACCCGCGGGATTCAGAAAAACGCGCCAAAAGTGCAGCGAGACCCGGATCATCATCAGCAAACAGCACGAGGAGTCCAGGTGAGTCTTACGAGTCCAGGTGAGTCTTGTCAGGTGAGTCTTACGAGTCCAGGTGAGTGTCACGAGTCCAGGTGAGTCTGAGTGTTGTTTGTGTGGATACGGAATCATTATTGCAATAATAAACTGATGTTGGTTTGTAAATGTTGGATGAATGAAGCTGCTGCGGGTGCGTAGTTACTCCGCTCTGATTCATGTTTATGCAATGTGCAAAGTGAACTGAAATAAATAAAGCATCGTTGTGATGAGTTTCAAATGATAAAGATGCTTTCGTTGAAAGGAAATTTAAAATTTATAATAGCTGAGTGAAAAAGTTGGATAATAAAAGGAAACATGAAGGTGCGGCCTTGTGTCCTGAAACTGTCTGGTAAAAGGAAACTTACAGAAAGGCCTTTTCTGAAAACAAATGCAAAAGGTTTTGTCAGTAAAATGAAGGAAATAACACCACAAACGAAACTCATGAAACAAAAGCAAAACGTGTCTCAAATAAAATCTCTGGGTATTTTGATGTGTGAAAATGTCATTTATCACAAAGTGTAAAACCATGGTGGAAAAAAATGTGTTTTTCAAACGTAACAAATTGCAATGAAAAGGTTTAAACATGTCCACCAAGCTTGGGTCAATGAACTGGAACACAAGGACTCAGAAATATATGAAATGAATGATACATTTGTGGGAATTAAATGGTCACTTTCCAAACATGAATGATACAAGGATGGTACAGGACCTGCCATCAAATACTCAAACATGCAAATTTAAACAAATGCAAAACAAAAAGTGGAAGGTGTCATCGAAGGTTTCAAATGGGATAAAAACCTACTTGGACAATAAAAATCTCTCATCTATCCTGGAAATTTAAAACCATCCAAATGCATCCAACTGTACAATGGTCAAATCCTAAAACCTCTGTTCTTTCTTTTTATTCTTTACCTCGTGTCGTCTCAAAACAAGATCTGAGGATTTTAAAGGCTCAGATTTGGGCCTAAACTGGTCCAAATATGTCATATTCTAAACACTTTTACGTGTGGTCTCTTATGGGTTGATCTGGTCTAAATGTGGACCAGATTTTAATGTTTCATTTCCACAGGTGGAACTTGGTTTTGGGTCCATGTATTGCGTTGGGTGTGGGTTTGGGGTGGTTGGTAATAATAAAACTGAAACAAGTGCATAATTGAGTAAAATTGTGATGCACTGAGACCACCTTGCTGGAAGAGTTGACCTGAACTCTGTGAGGGAAGCTGATGGACGTTCAACTCAAAGGTGAATATAAAACTGTTTTGCTGAAATACACTCGTATTTTGTCATTTTGTTTCTAACTTTTCCTTTGTGTTTGCAGGTTTGGGTGGNATCATGTTATTTATAACTGTTTTAATCAAATCAAATAATTTATTAGTATTTATTTACCTTTTTTACTTTTTATCATGTAATGCTCTGTTACTATTGAGTCTATTTGTAAGGGGGGTTACATCATATTTGACCAAATATTAAATCAATCATGGTATATTATTAAAGGTAAACAGGAAGTAATTCCTGAATCCTAAAAATTCTAAAATCCCACAAAGGGTTCATTTGGAAAACTAAAAGATGTGCGTGGTACCTGAGGAACAGGACGACTATAATAATTCAGTTTGGAGTTTTTAGGTTACTTGACCTGGAAGATACTGAAAAAAATGCATTAATTAATTAAGCCTCAAAATACATAAAAATATCAAATGTTTTATAAAACATACATGCACAATCCCCTTTTTTATAATTTGCTTTAAGTGTTTATGTATTTTTTATTTTTTTGTTAGATTAAATATGGGGATATCGTATCGTCAAAAGTCTCACAATAATATCGTGGGCTTTCATAATATATCGGATTTCAATTTTCTTTGCTTTAATGCAGGTTTTATAGAAGCAACAGTTTATAAACATCAGGAACTACATTTCCCATGATTCATTTCAGCGCAGACATGAAGAAATATGTTTTTACTTGAATTCGTGGGATTATGACGGAAATAATTCACACCACTGTCAAGATATTTGGAAAGCCAAAAAGTTTCCTGTCTACAATTATATCAGCCTCTGCAAAATATCACAATAAATATCAAAATATCACAATAAATATCAAAATATCACAATAAATATCAAAATATCACAATCAATATCGTACCGAGAGATTTGAATATCGTTACAACTGACAACACTAAAGAGACGTTTGTTTTGGTAAAATACAGAAAATCTGCTTAAAAACGACAAAACACAAAGAAAAAGTGATGTAAGTGAGTCACATTAGAGTCGAGTGCAGAACAGTTTTACTTCATCACGTTTCACTCATTTCACTGTTTTATTATCACCAACCTCCACAAACCAGAGACGTCCCAGTGTTTTATTTTGAAAATCTGGTCTCCCTGTGTGTTCTTCTAGTGCACATGTGGCGAGGCCAAGGCCCGCGGGCCACATCCGGCCCACCAAGCCATTTTATGTGGCCCAGAAGGGGTTAAAAGGTATAATTTATTATTATGTTGTGACTGTGCTGCTACTACATCTCCCACAATGCACTACAGTTGTTTCCTGTGAAGTGACTGCATCTCGCCACTAGAGAGGCCAAGAAAACTCATCAAATCTCCCCAAAAATATCCAAGAAAAGAAAAACTGATGCAGGAGGACGGTCTGATATGGTCTCTGCTCTGGGGCCTCATTTATAAAAACCTGCGCAGGAGTTGTCGTAAGTTAGTGCGTACGCCTGTAGCTACGAGAGGCGTGCACCACGCAAACTCCATATTTAGAAAACCCACCGCACGCACCAAACCACACAATCTTTGCTTTATAAATCCCACCTGCAACTACAATTTGGGCACGTAAACCCACGTCACGTCACTCCCTCTCCACACCTCCACCTCACCATAAAAGGAGCATGTAAAGTGACTCGTGAATGAGATTTCCCTAAACATGAGTCGATAATCAGTGGGTTTGACCAAGACACGCGGGACCGAGGGAGGAGGAGGCTCCACGCAGCACCATGTGATCACGTCAAAGACTTTATTAAAGACTTTATTAAACAAGGTTTAATAAATAAATACTAAACTAAAAGTGACAACAATGACTCATCTGTTCATTTAATCATATTTCATAATATTTAGGCAGCACATCTTTGCAGTAAAGCCCATGTGTTTTTTCGCTGTTTCAAGAGTTTTATCGCTATATTTTTAAGTCTGTCTATGATGTGTGTGTGGACTGGCCCTGTATATATATGCACATACACATAGATATGTGCACACGCTGATCTGAATGGTCAAATTATGAGCGAGAGATTCAGATGCCCTCCCCTGGAGAGGGAAAGGAGTGAGGGAGGGACACGAGGATACGAGGACACAGATTTAGCACGAAACACATCAGATACAGATGTTATTCTGCCAATTAAAGTCCACACGAAACATCCAAACTGCTGAACCTGTGAGTGTGGGTCTGGGTCTGTGAGTGTGGGTCTGTGAGTGTGGGTCTGAGTGTGGGTCTGTGTGTGGTCTGGGTCTGTGAGTGTGGGTCTGTGAGTGTGGGTCTGTGAGTGTGGGTCTGTGAGTGTGGGTCTGTGAGTGTGGGTCTGTGAGTGTGGTCTGTGAGTGTGGGTCTGTGAGTGTGGGTCTGTGAGTGTGGGTCTGGTGTCTGTGAGTGTGGGTCTGTGAGTGTGGGTCTGTGAGTGTGGGTCTGT